CATTTTGCCAGGGATGGTGGAAGATGCAATGTTCAGTATCAGTCTGGGCAGTCTGCAACATCAGTTCAGTAACAGCAAAAGGTTAAAGTTCTAAGGTTAAGCAGATGTATGTCATCCTTCCCATTCCCTGTCGAAAGACCAGAAATCTTTGTTATAACCTTAGGATGCCATCCTGTTTCAACAGCAGCTCAAGCTCAATCTCAGTTCTATAACAGCAGCAAGGTCAGAACGACCAGATTCAGTGTTAGACAGGGATGGAAGATGCAACGTTCAGAATCAGTCTGGGCAACCTGCAACATCAGCTCAATAACGGCAAGGCAAGAACGACCAGATATCATTATCATAAACCTTAGGTACAGCAAACATCTGTCCTTGGGGACATCCGTTAAAATTGGAACGATACAGAGAGAAGATTAGCATTAAAAAAAAAGAAAAAGAAAAGGTAGAGCTAATATCCTCTACCTTCTCCAAGAGCAGATGACACATTCTAACAGAAATCCGACAAGCGGTCTGAAGACTCTGAGCATTTGTCTTCCGTGGAAACAAGAATGAATGGGAATGTCTTGTTGCATTTTTTTACTCACCAACATGTCTGGCTGAAGACGCGCTAGTCGCTGCTCAGCTCGTTCGATATCGTCGTTCAGTCGCTTGTTCTCCTCTTCCAGCTTCTCCCAGACACATCTGATGCTTTTTGCTTTTGCCTCGACTTCGTGCTTTGCCTCCACCTCTGCCTCCAACATCGCCGAATGCTCCTTTCTCATCTTTATCTCCTCTTCCAGATCTTTCATTTGTTTCTTCAATCCTTCCAACGCATTCGTTACCCTTTCTTCCCTCGCTTTTCCACGTTTCTCTATCTTCTCCACTCTTTGTCGCAGCTCAACCACTTTCATCTCATGCGCCTTTTCGACCTCTGAGGTATCCTTTGCCACTGCTAACAGGTCTCTCTCCAGCTTTGGGATTACCAACTTGATCGCTGCTAGTTCCCGCTTCACCTTTTCTTCGCGATCCCCCAACCCGTTAACAACAGCCCTCAATCTGGACACTCGTGCCCGGGAGTCCTCGACGGTTTTCGCGAGCTTGACAACCTGGCGCTCGCGGCTAGAAAATGCATGCATCAGCCGTCTGACGTCAGAATCACTCTCCCTCTCAAGGCTTCCAACCCCCTCCGGCAATGCATGCTGCAGGCTGGTGATCTCCATGTCAATGTTCTTCAAGCCTTGCTCCAGATGGTGCACCCTATCCATTGTCTCCTCCAGCTCTCTCGTCATCCGCTCGATAGCTTCTTCTGCATCCTCCTCCTCCTCCTCCTCCCCCACGTCTCCGACATCGTAGAAACGCGTAGTCGTCGCCGCACCCTTCGTGAAAAGACTATCCTTTCTTGAAGTTAGGGTGCCCCCCAATTGTCGGTTTTCGAGTAGCGATAGAGATGAGGCTTGATCATCGACTGCGGCTTCCTGCAGCAATGCATCCACCATCTCCTCGAACTCCAAGAGCAGAGCTCCATCGGAGGGAGGCAGGCCTTGGGAAGAACGTCTCATTGCTCTTGTCTCCGTCATTGACGTAGATCATCCCCCTGGCACAGCCGATCATGTCCACAGAAATCATTGTCCCAACTCTCAGACATCCACACCATACAGCAGGGGAAAACTAGAGCGAAAGGTGAAAAAAAAAGGACAAACTCATGCCACAAAAAAAAACGAAACAGGAATCACCCATCTGTGGCTCGTTGCATCACCTTGGTTTGTTTTTTTCGGTGGCATCCCAGCGAGGTTCGTTCGCTTCAAGGCGGTTGAGAGTTGGCGGCACTCTGTCAACGTTGTTATCTGCACCCATGGGAATGCCAAAACAGCCTACCGTCTTCACCCGAATAGTACACCCGGTACTTATCGCCGTACCTGGACTGGAAGTTGGCCCAAATACAGCTATAATGACCGGCTGTTCTATTCGGCCTGAAGACGGTAGTCCATGAACAAGATGCAATAGATAATCAGGAAGGAAGGAAGGAAGGAAGGAAGGAAGGAAGGAAGGAAGGAAGGACGGAAGGACGGAAGGACGGAAGGAAGGAAGGAAGGAAGGAAGGAAGAGAGGTCTCTCTTCCTTCTAGACCGAACTTCAGTCTGGAGAAAGACAACCTGCCGAGTGGCCAACTCATTGCAGGGACCAGAATGGCAGAGAGAGTTACCTGCCTGCTACAAAAAAAAAAACGACATTCTTTTAAAACTAACCTGCCCGGCTGCCGACCCAGTAATGATCGCTGTACCTGGACTGGAAGTTGGCCCAAATACAGCTACAAAAAACGGCATTCTTTTACAACTAACAAAAACTAGCCTGCCCGGCTGCCGACCTGGGAGAAGTGGATGTCGAAGTTCTGCAGGAGGTTGTGCCCCTTGGCGCTGTTGTCGCTGGAACAGACAGGCATGGGAAGAATTCAAGCCAAGCACTGGACACTGAATACCAGTCTGATTGACGCCGACAACAACTGCTGATCAAGCAAGAACCACACAAGACTCAGAAACTACTCTCTAAGTTTTTGCACAAGTTTGCACTGGACACACCTTGTGCAAAAACTTAGAGAGTAGTTCCTGAGTCTTGTCTGGTTCTTGCTTGATCAGCAGTTGGTGTCTGCACCAACCAGGCCAGGCTCGGCGCCCAGGGAAATGGGAAACTGGTAGGATCAGTGGAGTGCTCGTGTTACACACTGTGTCACACGGGCCCGGTTAGGCCCGACAGATAGGGGTTCGGAGGCCGGTCCAGGCCCAAGGCCGGACCTTTAGACCGGAGGCGCCACTGTAGGGCCACCGGTTGGCCTTTAGGCCACAAATTAGGACCAGACCAGACGGGCAGGCCCAAACGACATTACCGTTGGGCCTGGCGGCGCTCTTGAGACTGCCGCCCGCCGGTCTGATCTGAATCGTCAATTTTGACGATTCAGATCACGGCTCGGCCTCGCAGCATAGAGGCCGGCCTTCCACACCGGTACTTAGGTACCAGGAGGCCGCCTTCTCAGGCATTCTAGAGGAGCAGCATTTCGGAGGAGCGCTGCGCTATTTCTGTTTAGAGCGCAGCGCCACAGCAGCAGTGCGAGTTAGCGCTAGACCGCAGTTGAGGATAGAGAGAGAGCGAGGTACTTACCTGGCACTTACCTGTGCCGCCATAGCTTCGGAGGACTTCGACTTCAGAGGACTTCTACTCCAGGCGCCACCTTGCATCCTGCAGGTAAGGCTTAGGGCCAGGACAGGGCAGTGAGGATTCTCCTCCTCCCTACCTCGCCATCTCTCCCTCCTCCTCTGCTATCTCCTCTTCTTCCTCTTCTTCTTCTTCAGACTTCCTCTTCTTCTTCTTCAGACTTCCTCTTCTTCTTCTTCAGACTTCCTCTTCTTCTTCTTCAGACTTCATCTTCCTCTTCTTATTCAGATTGGAGACTTTGATACGAGTTGGACAGAGATCAGTGTTTGGACTTCGGTGGTAAGAGGATGTGATACTTACCGGATTCGAGACTTGGAGATAGTCGGGATTGGTACTCGGCGGCATCACAGATTGGACACCGGTTGTATTAGGACTCTGTACCTCCGACATTGGTGACTTATTGTACACGACATTCTGATCATGTTCGAGGACATTTTGGACTACCATATCGGTGACCTATTGGATTCTATCTCGGTGACATTTGGCGCTGCCTACACCTCCCACCTCCATCGTCTCTCCTCCCACCTTTCGTCTGTGTATGGTTGTACGGGGCCTGAGCATCGTCTATGATTGGCTCAGACCCCACCATCTCACGATTGTTTGTGTGTTGAGTGATATCTGTATGAGTTCAGTCTACGTGAGTCAGTCCATTTCTCAGACTTCCGCTGCATACATGCTCATCCTATATTGGTTGATCTTTGGTTCTGCCCATACTTGTTGAAGTATTCACGAGTATGCAACAGCGCGGGTGTGTCCGACGAACGGGGCCGCAAACCTCGCAGGCCACAACCTCGCTGGGACACGTCAGCTTGGGGAAAAGTGACACTATGGCCTGGGCGCCGAGCCTGGCCTCAGGTTGAACCTGCAGCAAAACACAGGTGATGGATCTCTGCCCCGCTATCCCCCGCCGATAGCGAGGGACCCGGCCTTGCCGTCTGGCGGCACGGAAACAGGCTGGCTCGGACTTCCGATACCCCCTGGCCCCGAGGTCTCCCGGGGTACTTTGTGTCGTAGGGGATTAGCAGGGGTTCTAGAGATTCCAGTCTCAGCGGGTCACAATTAACCTGTCAGGGTTTAGGGTTTTTCGGCCGCCAGTGCCTCCTGAGGTTTATCGCAAAATTATCGGTTAGGTCAACCAGGCTTCAAAGTTCAAACGTCAGTCTTGTGTAATTGAGAAATGAGGCGAGCTTAGGGAGGGGCGCGGGGTGGTACATCCTTCCGCAGGGAAAGTAATCAACGTCGTCCGCTCGGGGGCCTTCCAGCCATAATGGGGAGAAGCGTGAGTGTGTTCAAAATGTTCTGTGATTCCTGACTTGCCGGTGGAATAGGAACCGGACTGCTGCTCCGCAGAATGGAACGGAGCCAAAACTGGGAGCCTGTGGGAGGTACGGTTAAAAAAAAAAAGAAAAACAAAACACTTGCTTGTTCTTCTTCTTCTTGGGGGTAAAAAAAAAAAAAAAGCGGGTCCAGCATCGCATACAATAATAACACACACCCAGACTTCCCTCAGTTACAACTGAGGGGGAAAAAAAAAAAAAAAAAAAAAAAAAAAAAAAAAAAAAAAAAAAAACAACACCACCTGAGGGATCCCAAGACTACCGGTAGGATTGATTGAATTTGATTCCCTTCCTTTTGGAAGGATTTACCCTGGCCTCACCCCCCCCCAATCTTAGTAATCCCATCTTCTGTGTACTCTTAAAGTCTGTCCACTTTGCTCCACTCAGTCTTAGATACTGTCTTCACCCGAATAGAATGCCCGGTAAATTATCGCCGTATCTGGGCTGAAAGTTGTGCCAAATACAGCTATAATGACCGGGCGTTCTATTCGGGTGCCAACGGTAGCTGCATGAAATTCTAGTTGTAACCTGAGCTATTTCCACCGACAGATCCAGGTTATCTCAGCCATTTACTTCCCTTAGCTTTGGTTATCGACGACCTCGCTACTCACCGTCTACATGATCCTCGCTCTCTAGCTGGTCCTCTTTCCGTTCTATGCATCCCCTGCGACCATTCCTTAAATTTGACACTCCTTGTCCTTTGACTGTCGTACCTTCCCCTGCAGAAGCCATTCCTCTTACAAATCCTCTACCGGACCTTCCCTCTTATGGGCAGTTATCTGCCTTTCTTTTTTTCTTTTCTTTATTTTGTAGTCACCTAGGCTACCAGCCGGGCCGCCCGGATCATCTTGTTTTCCCAGGCGGCCCGGCCGTGCAAGGACTACGGAAGGGCCCACCGAAAAAGCGAAAAAAAACGAAAAATAATTATGTTATGACAGTTATGCAGAAAAATAAACTGAAGAACTTTTGCCTCCGGGTCACATCGAAATTCTTTACCAAATTAAAAATATATACATACTATTATACTGTTTGACGATATATACAGCTCTTGCAAGGAAAATGAGCGATAGCGAACTTCAGAAATCAAACAGCATCATACACATGAGACCAGATAGTCGTGACCTCGAACCAAAAGCAGAATTGCATCACGAGTTTCACCAAATAAGAGCACAGCAAAAGCTCATAATTGGCAATGCCGGAATAATCTCATCATCATCAACGAAGAACCAATGTCGATATCCTATCTGGCGCCCGGCGCCCGGACTACAGATGGCAGATCCTATCTAGCCTAATCTACAATGACGCCGATGACGTCAACAGCTCCCCAAAGTACAAGCAGATCTCGGCCAATGCCATACGCTTCAAGCAACAGGTACGCCTCTCGTATCACTCACAACCTCGTTCCCCAACTCACAGATGCCACATGCACCCAAGGACCACCATGCGCCCCATCCAGCATACAGCAGCGCAGCTCGGCTATGGCTGCCTGCTCCTTCCAGCTCGCCTGTGAGCGCGTGAGCGCTGGCCAGCGTTGGCACAGCATGCAGCCAGTGCCCGAATGCCGAATGCGTGGGCAGGCACTTTCCTAAATGGAAGTGGCCTGCCTGCTTGTGTGCAGCTTGGCTGTGCTGGGCCCCTGCCCAGAAGCTTCCGGTAGGCCCAGAGAGGCTGAGCCCCAGTCCAAACAAATCAGGCCCTGGGCCTGTGGTGGTTGCCCGTATCCAATTGCCCGCGGCCTGTGTTCGGTCCATGCTGCGAATCTGGCCCAGGGCCTGCCTCAGTTAGATTGGAAAGAGGCAGCCTGGGCCTGGGCACTCTCAACCAACTGGCGCTGCGCAACTGCCTGAATTTCCGCAGTTGCATGGTGACCCCAAAATGGCCTGTAGGCCTCGGTTGAGCCTGCCTTCACTTAGGGCGGCCGACTGTGCTGAAAACAGGTCCCAGTAGGACGTATCGAGGCCTTGTGCCTTCCACTCTGTTTGACGATACATATATTATTATATTGTCACATAACTATGAACTAA